GGAGAGGCAATGGTAGGAATTACAACATAGACTGTTTTGAGGATTAACTTAGAAATAACTTCATGTTTAATGAAGGTTTTAGTGCAGTGCCCGACACAGAGTGACTCTCATTAAATGCAAACTATTATTAATGTGTCTAGATTTAAGCCAACTGGATGTCTCAGAAGTATCCCCACATTCTGCCCAATTGGCTTTCTGTAGTTCTCTATGGAACGGGCTTGGGAAGGTGGGGATGTTAAAGTAGTTGACCCTTCCAACTCAAAGTCTAAGGGTCTATGAGTTGCTTTGGGGGGTCACTTTGCATGAAAGGCAAGGACGTTAACAATTAACAAGTAGAAAACGACTATTATCCCAGCCAATGGTAGTCACTATTTATTTAATGTGCCAGGCACCATGCTAGGCACTTTACATCTTTTCTCACTTAATCCTCACAAGAATCCTACAAAATAGAAAGTATCCCCCATTTTGTTGATGAGGATCCTTTGGCCCAGAGAGGGTGAGTAACTTTCCCAAGATTATCCAGCTATGAATGGACTGAATTAGGATTTGAACTCAGGTCTTTCTGGCTTTGTAGCTCATCCTTTGTCAACTGGGCCATGCTGCCTCTCTTGAATGACACTCCTCAACGCTAGGACTGCTGTAACTTCTTCTTCTAGAACGAATGGAACCATGTCCCAAGGATGGAGCTTTCTCAACTAGTCTCCTCCTTTCTAGGATGACACAGATCTGGAGTACAGAAGCTAAGAGCATACATTAAGGCTTTGGCTACAGCGAGTAAGCAAACCACCCAGGGTGGTTTGCTCTGGGTCCAGAGCTTTTCCTGGAAAAGAGAATTATTTTCCTCACGGAAATATTTTTTATCTTGTAGGATGAGCCAGCACGTAGTGGTGCTCCGTGGAGAAGCAGGGGCAGTGTCTGCTGGTGGCGTTCTGCTGAAGACCCACTCTCATGGCATTCAGCACTGGAGGGTGATTAGTGGGTGGATTAGCTGCTTGCAGCCCGTCTCTAAGATATGAATATGAATCAATGCATAACCGCTGAGAACCTGCTACTTACCTACCACTGGGCAGGGCTCCAAGCCATTGTGATCCCACTTTCCCCTGCCCCAAGTATAGACACTTGGCAACACATACATTTTTCCTAATTTTGAAAAGCGATTGTGTGAAAGTTCCCCAAAAGGTAACATTTTTAATCACGTTTACATATTTTTAAATAACCTCACTGCAAAGACAAAATAATAGCCTAGTTTTATTGAGAGTTTTTAATGTGCCAAGCTTTACATGCATTATTAACCCATTGAAGGGTTAATAATTATCGGGTTAATTAACCCAGTGCCCTGTGAGGTACTGATCCAGTCTTTCAGGTGATGAGACTGTAGCCCAGAGAGGTTAAGTAATTGCCTGGTGGATTCTGTGGTAGGTCTCTGGTATCTATCAGGTCCCAGCAGGAAACAGAAGAGATACTCAAACTGGGTAAATGGGGAAGAGTTTAATATTGGGACTAGATACACTAGATAGTATGGGCAAGGTATAAGAAGAATGAAAAAGGTTAGGCAGTACCTTGGCCCTAGGCATAAAAGGAAAGACATCTGCCAGGAGCTATGACCTTGAATGGGGAGAGGTAGCCAGGCCTCATGGCCCAGCATGGAGGGAGCTGGGAGAACAAATACCCCCAATTACTCTCCTCCCGCCTACCTCCCTCCAGTCTCCTGCAGTGCTTTCCATCAGCTGAACCCAAATGGAAGTCAGAAGACAAGAGATCCTTGATTCAGTCCATCCAGGTTGACTTCCCTGGGGCACAAGACAGGATGGAGAAGATTAGAGAATGGATCTGGAGGAGAAAACAGAAAATACTGAGTGCACATGTGATCTCAGTTTGGATAATTAACTCTTCTCTTTCTAGAATTTGAGATTGGAAACAGACACAGAAACTGTCCTTAAAAAGGAATACTGTTGATGGTTCATGACAGAATGTCCGTGAATTTCTGTTGCTGAAGAATCTTGAGCTTTTCTGCTTCCATTCCTTCTACACATTGGCTGCTCAGCGATCCAGGATGTTTCTGACAAGTCTCTTATTTCTGCCTAACCCAGTCAAAGTCATTTAGTGTGGCTTGTAACAAAAGGTCCCTAATGAAACAATGCCCAAGTTTTCTCCCAGTCATCCTAGCCCTCTCTAGTGTTGGCATTTAGATCACTGCATTTATGTCTATATTCCCAACTGTGCTCAAGAGAAGAACTTATGTAGGGGGCTTCCCTGGTGGCGCAGTGGTTGAGAGTCCGCCTGCCGATGCAGGGGACACGTGTTCATGTCCCGGTCTGGGAAGATCCCACATGCCGCAGAGCGGCTGGGCCTGTGAGCCAT